ATATTTAATATTTCTAATTATAATTAATTAATTAATGCTCATATTAAATATATATGAAATCTTCTGGAAATTTTGAAACTTTTCCATATTTAATATTTCTAATTATAATTAATTAATTAATGCTCATATTAAATATATATATGAAAGAGCTAAAATTTACAACTATAAATCAAACATTAAAATTGGGCGTTGTAAAAAATACTTTACATTTCTTTTTTTTGTTTAATTTACAAAAAAATTTATTATTTTAATTTTTGATCTTAAAATTTGTTAATTTAATTTTTAATCTTAAGCTAATATCATTGAATTGCAGAATAGCAATACGTATGAAAACAAAAAAAAAAAAAAGAAAAATAGGTAAATAAAATACAATAGGGATGATCTATTAGATACTGCACATGAATTGCTATCATTATGGATAACAACATATCCGAATGGAGCATTGAATAATTTGTCATCACATGAAAGTATATATTTTTTTTTTTTAGTTATTTTATTTTAAAAGATTAAAAATTTTCAAAATTTCAATATACTTTTTAATAATTTGAATAATTTAAATTACGATAATTTCTATTATCAATTATATTTTCAGTGCAAATAATCGTAAGCTAATTAGTATCTTTAATCATTTTTAGCTAAGTTAATGTTAATTGATTATTTTGGATTAGATATGCAAAAAATTGTATATGTTCATGAATATTTAGCTAATTTATTAACAATGTTAATTATAAAAGAAAATTGTTTTCAAAATAATTATTTAAAATTATTCAATTATTATTATTACAATTATAATTTCAGTTCGAAATATCACTGCATCAGGACGTATGGAATCGATAGGATTGAGAAATTTTGTTAAAATTTTTTTTTTATTTTTTTTTTTTAAAAAAAATTTTTTTTGTAAAATTTTCTACGCTATAATCATTAATTTTGATTTTTACAAACTTATTTTGAAACAATTTTCCAAATAATGCTTATTTATTATCAAACATTTAATTTAATTTATAGGAAATGATAAATTAATAAAAAAATTTATTTCATATGAAATTTTATATTTGAAATACTTTTTGAAATTGTATATGAAATTAAATTACTTATTGTAAATGTTTCATTTGTAAATGCTATCAATGTATACAATAAAAATTTTGAAATTATTTTTTAGTAAAAATTTTTCAAATTTTAGGCATTTTTCTCAAACACACATATTAACGAAGATATTCATCAACGAAATAGTTCAATGCAATCTTTTCAATACAATCATACACCACAATCTATATTTGATGGTAATTTTAGTAAAAAAAAAAAAATTTCATTTATCAAATTTAAATTTAATTTAATAAAAAACAAAAAGACAGGGAAATTACTGGAAAATCATTGGATTATTAAAACTTTTTTTACATTGGTTTAATTTTTTGTTGATAATTAAAATTATTGAAATTACTCGACTAAAAATTATTTAAAAAAAAGGAAAAAATGTTTGATATAAATGTTCAATTTCTTATCCATTTATCATTTTCATTTAAGCTATTAAATCAATCAAAATTATTGGGATGAAAATTATGAAATTTTTGAAAATTTCTTTTTTTCGAAAAAAATTTTCAAAAAAAAAATGAAATATAGAAATATATATTCCTGATAGGAATATTTGATCTCTTATCAATTTATCATTTTTATAAGTTATCCAATGTTGTTACAAGCTAATGCAATAATTTAGTTATAAGTGAAATATTTGAAAATTAAGAAAGCATACAAAAAAATTGATATTTTTCTTTATTTCTCTTACAAACGATATTCTTTGAACTTTTACTAACACAATTAATCACACTTATCTCACCAGTTTTTCTCTTCTTTTTTAATCTATCAATATATTGTCTTTTACAGTTTTTGTTGATGTCTAATGTCTCTTGGATCCAAAAGCATTTCCATTTTTCATTTTATTAATTAAGTAACCAATTAATGGAATATTATTTTTCAAAATTTTAATGAAACTTTACTATTTCTTAAAATATCGTACTATTTTCACATTTAGACTTCTCTGTTTATTGTCAAATATTATCTGAGCGTTTCCATTTTTGCATTTTATTAATTAAGTAACCAATTAATGGGATACTGTTTTTCAAATTTTTAATGAAACTTTATTATTTCCTAAAATATCACACTATTTTCATACTTAGATTTGTCTGTTTTTTTTTGTTAAATATTATGTAATTTTCATACTTCCATTTCATCCCTAATTTCATCCATATTGACTTGTCATACTACCAAATCTGACTGATATTTCAAAACATCATATAAGAAGGAAGTGTTGTTTCATTTAAGTTGCATAATGCAATTTTTAAACTTCAGCCTTTGTGTTACTTACGCTGTGCGATTTTTTCTTGCAATAACAGTATGGTTATTTTGCATTTAGAAAATGGGCTGGTTGGTAGTAATCGGGTATTTCTAATTATTTGTCAGCTAAATATTATCAAATAGATTTGGTAAGAAATACTGTTTAATTATTATTTGAGAGTTTTTTTATTATAAAATCAATTGATGATATTAATTAATTAATAAAATGATAGGAAATTAACTAATTATTGTTAAAAAAAAAATTATCACTAATATTAAAAAATTATTTTTAGTGAAAAGTGATGTCATTGTTAAAGATTAGTCATTGTTTATCAGTTTTAAACTAGTTATAGTTTAAATACATTCCTTATTATCATCATTAATGTTTTATCATTTTGCTAATTATTCATTATTCCACTTGTCACACTAATTATTATTTGATCAGTTATTTCCTACATTTTCACTTAGTTATTGCTTATCATTTCATTCTATATTCACTTTGTATTTTTTATGAATATATCAACTTTTCTTTGTCCTTTCTTCTTCAAAACGAATTTCCTTTTCCGCCCTCCTTAACTCTGTTTATGAAATGGGTGATGTTTTCAAGCACATAATAAGCATATTTTTCACAAAAAAAAGGGAGGATAATTGAATAAATTAAATTAAATCAAAAAAAATGGAAAGTAAAAGAAAATTATAAACGGTGGTAAAAGTAACCGGTATATTTATGAATAAAATGAAATTAAATTACTAAATTTTGTATAAGATTTCAATTGTTTTGACAAAAATTCTTATTAAAAATTAGAATTTGATGTATGCACAGCAGTGAATGCTTTCAAAATAAATTGTGTAATCGAAGATAGTGCTATTACTATTATATCCTGTTTGTATTTCTTTCGCTCACTTCTTTCCTTTTTTTTTTTATTTTAAATAAACAATCAAATATCATTTGACTCCATCAAATATCATTCCCTTATTCGATTTTCTTACCTTTATATTTGTCCGAATTAACTTTTTCAGATGCAAAAAAAAAGACGCCATTGACTTTTTCGACTAAACAAATTAATAGAATTCATACTTCGCGAAAAAAAAGAAGCAATCATTTGTTGAGTCATTTCTTAAAAGTTAACCAAAACAAAAAAATAACAGCAGGCACTTAGCATTGTATGTATTTCTTTTCTCCTTTCATTCCAAAATTCACATCTTATTTTTTGATCTTTAAATCTGTGAATGTATTCTTTACATTCTGCTTTAAATGTAAATTAAAATTTAATGCATATATATATTTTTTTTCCCACTTGTTATTTGTCGCTTTTAGGTTTTGAAAAAAAAGTATTTGCATGTTTGTTTGTCTGTTTTACTTAAAAATCTTTGCAAATTAATATATTATATCTGGAAACAAATATCAACATATATATAATATGTATATACATTTTTTATCGCTTACAAGAAAAAAGCTATGTGTATGTGTTCAATCGTATTTGATATAGTTCAAATTTCAGATTTATTTAAATTTCTAATAGACATTGCATTACTTCAGTAAACATATCGAATGTTACGGCATCAAAATTTCAATCAATGACTTCCTCACTGCGTCGTTCACCCTCATTATGTAGTTCGATGACACCAAATATTTCATTGGATGTGCATGATCATGTTATTGCTTCTCGTAAGTAACATAATTACTTTCATATTTTCCGAATTTCAAGTTCTCAACTATTTAAATAATTCCAGTTAAGCTTCTTTGATTTCCAAGCAAATTTAGAAATTTCAATTAAATCTAATTTTTGAGACAATTTAAACAGTTTTTAGTGGGAGTTATGCCTGTTTTCTAGCTTTGCATAGCTAAAAATTTTGTTTGTCGATTTATGGTAATAGTTGAGTTTTATTATCATTGTTTGGGGATCAAGGTTAATTAATTAATTAAGAAGTTCTATTTCATTAGTGATTGCCTTCTCTTTCATAATCATAACAAACTCGTTTATGAAGGGTCAGTAGTTTAAGCTTTTTTTGAGTATCCATATTTAGCAATTACTGATAATGTCATACTATTCAGCTTTTATGCAAGTATTTTTTGGTTTGACCTGAATAAACTAAGTTTTAAGGAAACATTTCCAGTGCTTGATGAAAAAGTAATGGGATTTTTATAACTTATTGTTTTCATTATCAAATTTGAAATTTGAAAATTTGGAAGGTTATGGTGTCCTACTTCGTTGATTTGCTCCAATTTTGCATTTTTCGGCTGCCTATTAGTAAAAGAACGTATATTTGAGATGTTAGACTGTTTTTCAAATTTTGATATAATGTAGGGTTCATCTGTTTTTTTATATTCGTAGCGACCAACAAAGGAGTTTATAACCTTGAAAAAGTTGAACTTTTGGAGGTCAAACCATAGCTTTTATTTACAATTATGATTTAATTTTGCAGCCCATTCCACTGAATTGAATTCTAACGTAGGTATTCAAATTGAACCGGAGTCGAAATTACCCGCCACCAATTTGTCATCTAATATAGGTTCATTTTCAAGCTTTGTTTGTTACATATAGGAAATATAATCATCTTATTATGCGCATATATATGTGTTTCATGAAATGATTCTACGGAGTTACATTTATAATTTTGAAAAGCTGAAAATAAAACGGAATTGTAAATTTGCAAATAATCAAGCAGATATGTGCCAGATATAATAGACATGTGCAAGTTCCTACATTATGATCTGTCTGACTTGCATGCCATTTTATATTTACAAATACAATTATTGATGTAGGATTAGAACGAGATGGCTAACTTTCAGGAAACATTCCGGTAGTTTATGAACCAACGGAAACATCACCACTTTCCAATGTACCGATGAATCCACTGCTGTATTCTTTACAAAAACAGTAAGTGTTTCAATTTTGCGTGATATTTTTAATGTCGTTTCATGCGCTCGTAATTTTTTCTTAGTGTTATGGAAACATTTGTCCGTGTCTGGATAGTGATATTGTCTTTTCTTTTTCAGTTGCTTATAACTCGAAAGATACTTTTCCTACTTAGAAGTTGTTTAATTTAATATTTGAAATGATTGACATTAATGTTCTTGTTTTACTTTTTTCAGTTGTATGGGTTTTTAATGCTTATCTAAATATTTTATTAATACCTGGTATTTTTAACGTTCTAACGAGAGTAAGTCTACAATTGTAGACCATTGGTTATTAAATGATGATCTATCGTTCGATACATTATATTATTAAGCGATAAAAGTTCGAGCACAAAAATGCCTTCGGTGTCAAACATAAATTTTTAAGTATTATCAAGAGTGATCGCAAATAAAGTAATCTCGCACATTGTAATTCAGGCAAAGTTAGGGAATTTGCACAAGTTCATTTAGGAAGAAAATGCGAAGTTTCAATGCTTAGCCGTAAAATACGGCGAAAACTAATAAGGAATTGTGGAGTTTAACATGAAAAAAATACAGTTTCATTAAGAAATTACAAAATCTGACCTTAGAATTCGGCCAGCGCTCTCTTTTTTTTGCACTTTTTCTCGAATTAATTTTGCAATTTTACAGATTTACAGTCGAAACATTCCTCTTTTAATTTATGAAATACAGCTCTTGCATACTATCAGTCATATTTTCTCATACATTCCAGTGTTAACATAGCTATGAATTATTGAAATACTGATGGTATTTTTTATCACACTTTTACCATTTTCGTGCAAATAATATACATGGGAATTTCCTATACTTGAAAAAGAAATTTTTTCGTAAAAAATTTTTCCAAAACTTAACTACTATTTTAAATTTTAACAGGAACAAATTCTTACCATTAATTATCATGATTTGCATATTTCTGTTTTATCCGTAATGATAAAATATTGTTTGTTTCGGAAATCTCTTTGATAACATCCAGCACATAATCAAGCATTACTTTGGAATGAGCAATATTAAGTCAAATATTCACTCGACTTTCAATTATATGTATTGTTGGAAATAAAGAATGGAACACTTTTATTTCTTAGATATTTAGCGCTATGATCTTCATGATTTACTGTTTATTCAATGCAACATCTTTCTTTTTTGTGGTAAATGAAATTTATTTTGGAAGTATTATTTTTGTGAAGTTGATTTTGAATTTCAAATGAAAACAGAAATTAGAGTTATTTTTTTCAGTTATGGTTATATATATATATATATATATATATATATGTATATATATATA